GTGGACACTTTTATTTTGATTGAGAGAATTATACATCCTGTCAGTGTATGCATCATCAGTAGCAACTTCATAATCATGTTAAAATAGTTGTGTTTTGGGTTTGGGTTTTTTTTTTTTTTTTTTTTTTTTTTTTTTAGAGGAATACTCCCACATTGCTATCCGGTCTTGTTCCTTACAGAGACCTTTTTTTGCTACACTGTGTGTCCTGTGGGATCTTGGTTCCTCAACCATGGATTAAACCCAAGCCCCCTGCAGAGGAAGCACAGAGTCCTAACCAACAGATTGCCAAGGAATTCCCAGCAACTTCATAATTGTAATGTAACAGGATATTAAAGAATATGTTCTTAGGACATATATTTGTTCTGAATTTTGTGTTTTGCAATTATAAATGATTCCTTATTACCTAGAACTTTTGCATTATTTCCTTAATCAAATATCAAGGAATGATATCACTGTGTTGTAAAGGAAGCACGTTTTTTTCCAGATTATTGCTGTATTGACTTACAATAAGTTTATACCAATTAATAAAGTTCAGCCCTAAAAATTAACCATTTTATAACTACCTACCCAGTACTGAGGGATAAATACATTTAGAGGTATACTTCAAGTCAAAAACTGCTGGTAGTATTAAACTTTTGTCAGATGTATATTATGATTTCTGTGACCTCCTTTGTGAAGTACCTTCAGTACTATTTTCTTAATTATTTTTGGCATCTTGATGCTTTATATAAGCTACTTAAAATTATAGCAATTATCTACTCATCTGTCATCCAAAGAAAAATATTTTCCTATGTAAGTTATTACTCTATTTTAGGTTAACATTTTTCAATGTAGATAGTATAATCCTTTTAAATATTCAAATTTATCATCTTTTCCTTTGGTCTGATAATTTTTTATTCAAATCTGGATAAGTTATTAATTCTTCACAGATCCTATTTACTTATTTATTTATTTAGTTCTTTAATTCATCTCTTACTAGTGTACGTGTAACATTTTGATCTACCTTTCAAGGATTGATTTGCATACTTGGCATTTTTCAACAGAGGGCAGCACTTTGCATTAGTTCTGCCTTGTGGGTGCATATTTCAACCACAGAACACCAAATGTTCTGAAATCTTGCTCCTGCACATACAGTGAACAGCATGTACAAGAGCATTTCTATGGAAACAAAGGATGTATTTTCTTATCACAGAACTTCTGGGAGAGTCTTAAATCTACTTTGAAATGCAATAAATGCTCTTTAAATCAATAATTTTGGTGAAAATAATAAAGAACGAGTGCATGTTACAAAAAAAAAACTGAATCAGTTTTAGAAGAAGACAGCGATGACCGATTTTACCCAAACCTTTAGTACAATCGATTCTGACTGAATGACTAAGCTATTAAGGCTTGAATCTCCTGCAGATAATGTAACCAATTTTTTCAAGAACTGTAACTAAAGCTTTATTCTATATATGATTTAATTTTAAAATTTTACATTCTGTTTTTAATCTTCATAATAAATTCAGATCAGTGTCATAGCTCACAAGGTCTTTTATATTCTAGTCCAGGCCTCAAAATTCAAACAAATGTTGTCTATTTTAGTTTCCAGGCAAAGTGAGTGTTTCCCACCCTTGTATCCTCATTCTGTTTTCTGTCTGTGTGTAACTTTTTGTTATACCTCAGGCTCTACCAGGACCCATCTTTGCCTTATTACCACTATACACAGAACTTGAGCACATCAGAAAGCACATAATAGGCATTCATTAAGTAAGGAATGAAGAGATAGTGAGATTTAAAATCTTATGCTTATTAGCTTGGTAATCCCTTTACCCTCCTGATATTTTTAATATTGTCTAATATAATAAATATGTACATAATCCTGACTTTGTCTCATTTCAGTAAAAATTATATTAGTGAATAATGGGCCTTTTCCTTTGGGGGATTTTATGGAATTTAGATGATTTTGTAGGATATTTTGATATTGTTGATTACAATAGATTAATGGAACTGGGAACTATAATTCCATTAGAGGCTGACGGCTTAAGTTACATTCACTCTCTGTTTTTAAATGCATCACGATTTTAGGTCCATTAAGCCTGGAGGTGAAGTCGCTCAGTTGTGTCCGACTCTTTGTGACTCCATGAACTGTAGCCTACCAGGCTCCTCCATCCATGGGATTTTCTAGGCAAGAACACTGGAGTGGGTTGCCCTTTCCTTCTCCAGGAGATCTTCCTGACCCAGGGATCGAACTTGCCACGAACCTGCAGACACTTTACCATCTGAGCCACCAGGGAAGTCCAAAAAAAAGTTGCTCAGTCGTGTCCAACTCTTTGTGACCCCATGGACCCCCTATACAGTCCATGGAATTCTCCAGGCCAGAATACTGGAGTGGGTAGTCGTTCCTTTCTCCAGGGGATCTTCCCAACCCAGGGATTGAACCCAGGTCTCCTGCATTGCAGGCAGATTCTTTACCAGCTGAGCCACATTGGAAGGACTGATGCTGAAGCTGAAACTCCAATACTTTGGCCACCTCATGCGAAGAGTTGACTCACTGGAAAAGACCCTGATGCTGGGAGGGATTGGGGGGCAGGAGGAGAAGGGGACGACAGAGGATGAGATGTCTGGGTGGCATCATTGACTTGATGGACATGAGTTTGAGCAGGTTCCGAGAGTTGGTGATGGACAGGGAAGCCTGGAGAGCTGCAGTCCATGGGGTCGCAAAGAGTCAGACAGGATTGAGCAACTGAACTGAACTGATGATGTTCTTTATATTTTTATGAAAGTTAAGAAATTCAACTGAGTTTAAAATGTATGTCTTATGATTTTTAAATCCTCTTTTAAATATACTTATATTTTTTTATATTATTGACTTTTCTTATTTTTTTCTTAGACCTGTCCAATTTTTCTAGAAATAAGAAATATTAGATTTTCTCGACTTTATTTTTTCATTTTACATTAAATTACTTCATTTAATATTTCTGTAACTAATTTGTTTCATTTATCAAGATTTGTCATTTTATCAACTTCTTCATTTTCTTTTTCTCTTTATTTGTCCAGGGAAATTTACTACCCAACATTTCACTTTTGAAAAAACCTTATAGCAGGGGGGTGCATATTCCACAGAGAATGAGAGAAGGAAGGGATGGAAGAAGCTCTTGTATCATAATTTAGCATGACTTCTTTGAAAAAAAATAGATCTGTCTTTAAGACAGAATGGCTCAAGGAAAATTGAGCCATTCCCATGCATGGAAATCCACAAGATACACGCTGTAGCAAATGTACCTGTCCTCCACCATGTTAGAAAGCACAGCCTGGAGGCACACAATTCCCACAGCTGGGGACACTGTTCTGCAAGCTACTGCCCTTCCCAGAGTGCATTTGCTTCTTTCTTTCAAAGCCAGCCTGGATATCAGGAAATTGACTTTTCACCTCATCCTTCTATGCTACTGAACTGTCCATCTTTTCCAGGGCTGGTCCCGAGAGCCTGGATGGCTGTCTCTGAAGTCATTTTCCATATGGCATCATCTGCCTTTTCAAGGATCCTGGGAATGTCTGCACTCTTTTTTACTATAATTTAAAATCAGCATGGAGATTTTGGGGCAAATTGACTCCTCCATAGCCACCTTCTTTTTTTTTTTTACCTTGGCCACACTGTGGCATGTGGGCTCTTAGTTCTTGACCAGGGACCCAACCCATGATCCCTGCATTGGAAGCACTGAGTCTTAATCTCTTCATAGTCAGGGAAGTTCCCACAACCTTTTTTGAGCTTCAGGGCATCTCTGGAATGATGGCTAACCTGCCTGTTAACCTAACCCAGGGCTTTCGAGGTGGCTCAATAGTAAAGAATCTGCCTGCGAGTTTAGGAGACAGGTTTGATTCCTGGATTGGGAAGATCCCCTGGAGGAGGAAATGGCAACCTACTTCAGTATTCTTGCCTGGAGAATTCCATGGACAGAGGAGCCTTGCGGGCTACAATCCATGGGGTCTCGAGTCTGACACGACTGACAGTGACTAACACACTCACGCTAGTTGGAAGGCATAGGTTTTAGTTATTTTTCAGTGATTTTCCTTAAGCTTTGAAGATATAAATTGGCCTCAACTTTTGTAACAAATTTAAGGAAGTCTGTTTCTATCACACTATCAAATATGTGAGGCATTTGCATGTTTAATTACATATTTAACACACCCTCTTCTGCTATCATTGTGATAGAAAATTTGTTTTCATCGAAGCCATCAAAAATCCCTATTACTTTGATGTATATCTAATAGTTGAGTTTTCTAGCATATCATCAACGTCTGCGGTTGCTGGTTTCCCCCACAACTCACTTCTGCATTTATTTTTCTCATCAACGTATATTTACATTTTTTTTTTTTAAGTTGCATACAGTTCAGAGGGTTGCAACGAGTCAGGACACGACTGAACAACTAAGCAGACAAGCAGGGGACGGTTGGGCGGGGGTAGGCAGGCTAGGGGCTCACCGTGCCCAGAGGACAGAAGATAAGCTCTGCTTGAAGGGCATCAGAACACAGGAACAGAAACCACCAGACCCTTCCGCCATATTGCAGTTGCTGCAGAATTTCTGAACCCTCCGAGACAGCTATGTTTGTCCCTTTTTGTCTCATACGAAGAAAGGTCTTTACACTGTTCTTCTCCTCCCAGGTATAAAGAAAGCATACGTACCTCACCCAATCAGCAAATGACTTGCAACATTTCTGTCCTGTTTCATTGTTTCCCGGCCATAAAAGCAGGAAGATGTCCCATGTTCGTGGTCGGCTCTCGCTTAAGCCAGTCCACTGTTCTAACAGCGTCTCCCGCTCTAAAAGACTATTCTCTTTCCTTCTGTCTCTTGTCTGGAAATTTTTTTCCAGCCCCTGCACAGAACACGACAGGGCTGATTGGGGGGTTAGGAGGGCAGCGAGCCACAATGCCGCGCCCGTGGCAGGAAAGAGAATCCAAGGTCAGGGTCGCCCTCACACCACACGGCACCTGCACCATCACGTGACCTTCGTGGATCTCGCGAGACTGTGCGAGCTCAGGCGTCCTGCCTGCGACACTTCAGTGAGGAACTTGGAGTGATGAAGTCCGTTAGGCTTGGTATATAGGAAAATGTATTTATTTTCTTTTCACTCCTATTTGGCAGCTTACAGAATTCTAAGTTGTATTGTATCTTAAGCACTTTGCATATTATTCTGTGGTTCGTCACCGTCTTAGAAATTCTCTCACCTGGTAGTTTTTTAAAATTTCCTCTCCTCGTCTATTACTCCTTGTGTTGGATAACAAACTCCATCATCTTGCGGGAAGCCACAGAGAATGAAAAAAAAGGAGGTATTGGAAAACAGATGAAGATAGGCAAGGTGCTGATGGCCCTGAAGTTCATCAATTTATAGTGTCCAGAGAGGGGAGCGGAGAGAGACAACTGCTTCACATTTGGGCATTTTTCAGGCTGGTGTGGCAGAAGGATGAGTCAAGTTTGTGAGCGGAAAATTCTGCTTGTAAAGGGTTAAAAGACCTAATTCTGATTCAGGAGGGATAAAAGTGAACTCAGAAAAGGAGTGATTGTACAGATTTATGTAATTTACTTCTGTTACTGAACCAAGCTTAGGTTCCTTTGTCTGTGGGCAGTAATGCCAATCTATCCACACTAGGTTGTGGTGAAGGATAAACACTGTGGTGCAGCGTTTATCTGCTGGGTGCCAGACAAGCAAGGGGTCTAGGTAACTAGTGCTTAAAGACCTTTCCCCCAAGGCTTTCGAGGAAAAGTTTTTAAAGACAGGGTAAGAGGGGTGTTGTGGGCTGTGTGATTGACTCATGGTCTTTCTTCTGGTGAGTGATGAAGTAATCTGGAGTCAACATCGTCCATCTTCTGTTTCCAAGCCATCTGGAGTCCATATGCTTGTGAGCAGCACAGAAATACCTGCAAAATAGCTCAGAGGATATGGCTCAGAATATTATCTATAGACCCTGAGGAGAAACTAAATGTCCTTGACCTTTTTAATGGCTAAACTGTTATTACTTTGTCTTGTTTGACTGTTTTCCTTTCTTTCTGCATTTTCTCAGTTCTCTGATTAAATTTAGTCTTTGGAACTCCTGGAAGGTCTAGGAGGCTAAAGTTTCTCTACAGACAAGAGTCAGGAGGAGGACATGGTGTCAGGGGGTGGGGCTCTCTTGCCGGAAAGTCCCATTGGGTCCTGCTTGGTTACACTTATAGCATGTTCTGGTTGACTCCACATTAAGAAAATCCAGAGCTGAGAAAATTTAAATTCCTTCAATTTTCTGGAAACTTTAATTTTCATCTTTAGCCCTAGTTCAGCACTTTTTCCCCCCATGCAGAATACCCACTGCAGAGATGATCTGATCATTCTCTATGGGCAGTCTTTGATCCCCACCCATTGGATCCAGTTGGAAACAGACATTTTGACTTATTTCCTCAAAGAGTCTTGATGCCACTTGTCCCAATGTGAAATAAATGTGAATAGATTGGGGGAAGACAGATGGTCATGTTCACCATAGTAAAAACTAGGATTTGATTAATAGGTAAATATATTCATATTTTTTAAAGCAAAAATATATAAAACTCAAAAAGAAAATTTTTATTTCTTATTTCTTCAGCTCTGGCTCTGATATATCCAGTATCTGCAGCCCTGGCACTTAGTAATTTATTCACTGTCTGGTTCTATCAATCTCTCAGCTGATTCTCTCCTTTCTACACATACCCTGTTCACTAATCTTTGCGTCTCAGTAAGAAAGAGACAGGTTCACTCATATTCTTTTGCAATGGAAACTCCAGACCCTACCACCGAATAGTTAAAGCCTTCCCTTAGTTTACTAAGGGTGCGGCCAAAACTTTGCTGTTACAGACTTACAGATTGTGTTATTATTCAGTCCCTAAGTCCGTCTGACTCTTTGCAACTCCATGGACTGCAGCATACCAGGCTTCCCTGTTCTTCACCATCTCCCAGAGTTTGCTCAAACTCATGTCCACTGAGTCATCGATACCATCCAACCATCTCATCCTCTGTCATCTCCTTATCCTCCTGCCTTCAATCTTTCCCAGCATCGGGGTCTTTTCCAGTGGGTTGGCTCTTCACATCAGGTGGCCAAAGTATTAGATTTAACTTTAGCATCAGTCCTTTCAATGAATATTCAGGGTTGATTTCCTTTAGATTGACTGGTTTGTTCAGGTAGCCCTGAATAGTGTCCAACTGAGGCTTCTTCCTCCACATTCTCTACTTGCCAGAGCAGGAAGAAACACATAGAGTTACACTGAAGTAGTTATTACTTTGTCTACCAGAATTATACCAAATTTTATAATACAATTAATAAAAATGTAATTGAGTCCCTTTACATCTGTTTATAGATCAAACAAACTTACACTAGCCTGAGAGACTACACTGACATGAAATCAATGTATTTTACACTCAAAGTTCTGATTAATGAATAACTATGAGAAAGAAAAATCATATCTGAAGCACAACTCAAAGCATGGGATCAATTTACACAAAAACTGAATTACAATGAATTTATGGAGAGAAAACAGTGAGATATACTTTTATTACATTAATTAATGTAAAATAATTACACAGAATAAAAATGTACTTTTTTATACCACTGACCTTACAGAAATTTAACTTATTGATGCATCTGTAATGAGAACACAGAAATAACCATTGACTTCCATGTTTGCTTTGGGCCAGATGGAGGAATTCAGATTCTATTCATTAGTGACTGTGACTTTGTAAATATCTAAATCTTTTCCAAGTCTCATGTTTTTCTATAAAATGTGAACTAATGTATAATTTCTAAGGCTACTAGGGATATGCAGGATAACAGTATTTGTGAGGATGTTTCTACAAATATAGAAAAAGTACTTAATCAATTCTAGTTCTTAAATTCTATGTTGTCTTTAAAAAGAGTAGCTCATAAATGTAACTTACAAATATGAAGACAAAAAAGTTAAAACTAGAAATTGCATATTTAAAGAAAATAGTTACAAAGATCAGGATTTATTTTCCCCTAAGACTTTTTGTTTTTGTTTTCCCTCTCCCCAATTTTTCCTGTTCCCATACAACTGCTTTCGGCTCTAAACTAACACCTTTCAAATGATGTAAAGCAATGTGATGTGGAAATTACTAGAAAACAAAAGGAATCAAGCACAGAGGAACAATCTTTATTCCTTTGAGAGAAGCAATTGCATAACTACAGATGGAAATTATAAAAAGTCTTATTTACCAAGGCGTTTCCCCTGTTCTTTCAATATTGGAAGTGAAATCACTGTAAAGAGAGCTCTCAGACCCAACATATTTCAAATGACCCAGTCACTCTCATCTTCTTGCCCAGACATAATGCATTTTCCATTGTTTCTAATTCCATTAATGAGGAAAAAGACATGCAAATAAATTCTTGTTATAAAAATAATAATGCTATTCAGCAAACATTTGGGTTGAAGACAAAATATGATTAAAAAGAAACCATTTTCAGAAGATTCAAAGGACCTCGTCTGTAAAGTGGGTCACCAATAACAATAACAGTTTCATTCTCTGATGAAAATTAACTAAAATTAAATGCAGACATATATGAAACTAATTCAAGTTATATCATGTAAATTGCTTCTCATTTTAAGTTCTGATTTTATATAGTCCAGGGTTAGATGACTCCGAGCAATCATGAAGTTTAGTTCTTCCTGAGATAATCAGATACTGATCTCCATATTAATTGCTCAGAAAGGTTTTGGGAACAGCTCACATTATAATATCTCCACAGCTAGTAAGTGACAGAGATAGTAAGAGCTGTTGGGTAAGAACTCAGATTCTACATCCAAATTGCCTTTGTTTAATCTGTGTGACTCTGAGCAAATCATTTACATTTCCATGCTTCAGCTTCCTCATCTGTATAATGGAGAATAAAAATCATAAAATACCATATAATAGGAATTTCTTAAGGATTGGATAAGTTATGTGTATCAATAACACAGAATGATGTTTGGCACAAATAAGCACTTAGCATTAGCTGTGGTTGTTCCTAGGCCTTGATGGGCGCAAACCTTAAGATCAACAGTTTGTACTTTGCACCTGGCTATTCCAGATCAGCAGGTTATTCTATAGGCATACTGGCTATATGTCTCCCAGAACAGGTAAGAATGGTCACGGGTACATAAGACTACCCACCGTCACCCCTGAACAGTGCCCAGACTGCACTTCTGGGCCCTTGGGAAGGAAGTTTCCTTCACTTAACAGCTGGTTGCCATCCATATTCCTCTTTTCACACTATTAAGTTGTAACTTTCATAGGCAAAGGGAGATTGTATCGTCTATATCGTTTTAAAATCAGTGCAGCCATCCTGACTGGCGTATAATGGTACCTCATTGTGGTTTTGATTTGCATTTCTCTGATAATGAGTGATGTTGAGCATCTTTTCATGTGTTTGTTAGCCATCTGTATGTCTTCCCAGGAGAAATGTCTGTTGAGTTCTTTGGCCCATTTTTTTGATTGGGTCATTTATTTTTCTGGAGTTGAGCTGGAGGAGTTGCTTGTATATTTTTGAGATTAATCCTTTGTCTGTTGCTTCGTTTGCTATTATTTTCTCCCAATCTGAGGGCTGTCTTTTCACCTTGCTTATAGTTTCCTTTGTTGTGCAAAAGCTTTTAAGTTTCATTAGATCCCATTTGTTTATTTTTGCTTTTGTTTCTAAAATTCTGGGTTGTGGGTCATAGAGGATCCTGCTGTGATTTATGTCGGAGAGCGTTTTGCCTATGTTCTCCTCTAGGAGTTTTATAGTTTCTGGTCTTATATTTAGATCTTTAATCCATTTTGAGTTTATTTTTGTGTATGGTGTTAGAAAGTGTTCTAGTTTCATTCTTTTACAGGTGGTTGACCAATTTTCCCAGCACCACTTGTTAAAGAGGTTATCTTTTTTCCATTGTATATCCTTGCCTCCTTTGTCGAAGATAAGGTGACCATAGGTTCGTGGATTTATCTCTGGGCTTTCTATTCTGTTCCATTGATCTATATTTCTGTCTTTGTGCCAGTACCATACTCTCTTGATGACTGTGGCTTGATGGCTGCTATCCAAAAGTCTACAAGCAATAAATGCTGGAG